AGAACAACCAGAAAAAAACGAAAACGAAAACAAAGACAAAAAAAAGTCAATGAGTGTGTGTGGGTGTGGGGGCATCACAGAGAGCAGTTAGCTGAAGAAGACAACACTTAATTCTGTGTCTGGACCCACAAAGGTCCAAGGCTTATCCCTGAGCAGCACATTTGAGAGATAGACCCAAACAAACATAGGAAAGGCCTGAGAACTGAAGGAAGATTTAAACCATTGCCCAAGTTTCAGGCTAATCCCTGAGTGCTGCATTATTCAATATGAAGAACAGGGAGAATAGTTTATTAGGATACTAATGAACAGAGCCTCTCACACCTGTAGAATAATATCCAAAATTCTAATGTATCATTAGAGTTTCAGAATGATAGGAAAAAGTTGGTGGAGAGAATACATATAAGGTAATAATGGCTTTAAACTTCCCAAATATGGGGGAAGACAAACATTTACAGATTAAAGAAGTTCAGCAAACCCCGAACTGAATAAATGCAAAGGAATCCATGCCCAGACATATCATAGTCAAAATGCTGGGACAACAATAAAAACAAAGACAAAAAAAACTTGAAAGAAGCTAGTGGAAAATGACATGTTACATGCAAGAGAAAATGAAATTTGAATGGACAAAAATCATTGGCAACAGTAAGCCAGTGGCACATAACAAAAGACAGAAAACAAACCACAAACCGATTAATCCAGAATTCCCAGAGAAACTTTCTTTTAAGAATGAAGGCAAAACAAAACATCTCTGATGTAGTTAAACTGAGAATATTCATCACTAATAAACCTGCTCTAAAATGAGTACTAAATAAAGTTCTTTAGAATGAAGACAAACAATGAAGAATGAACAATGAAAGTGACAAATATCTAGGTCAATATTAAAATGACTTTTTCTCCTGTGGAGTTCTTTAAGGTCTGTACTACTTTTTGAAAACAAAATTACCAACATTTTCTGATTTCCTTTTCAGTGCATATAGATATACTATATTTGACAAATATGAGTGGGAGGGTGAGGACATCTGCATATTGGGAAGGTTTCTACATTTTACTTGAAATATTAAACTATTTAGTTCTAACCATGAAAGGTTAAATGTAGGTAGTAAAACTTAGAGCAACCACTGTACAAATTTATGTAAAGAGGTATAAACAAAAGCTAGTAGATAAACTAAATTGAATATTAAATATTCAAACAATTTTTTAAAAGGCAGAAAAAGGGAAAAGGAGGAAAAACAGCAGAGACAAAAGAAAACAAATAATAAAATTGTAGGCCTAAGTTTAACCATATCAGTACATACATTAAATGTAAAGGACCTGAACAAATTAATTAACAGATTATCTAATTGAATTAAAAAAGAGATAATTTCCAACTATATGATGTCTACAGTTTAAATATAAAGGCATAGATGGGTTAGAAGCAAAAGGAAGAAAACATAAACAATAGTCTTTTCCCAGGAATTGCTATGAGAAGTACACAGAAAACCAGTAAGGCTATAGAATTTCAGAACAACACTATCAATCAGCTTATCTAATGTTTATTGAATACTCCACCCAACAACAGCAGAAGACATGTTTTTTCCAAGCACATAGGAAACAGTCACCAAGATAGTTCAAGATGGACCATAAAACAAGTCTTAGCATATTTAAAATAATTGAAATTAATCAAACTGTGTTCTCTGATGGAATTAAGCTAGAAGTGAATTCCAGAAAAGTACACAGACACTTTTAAATATTTGGGAATTTAAAAAGACACTTTTAAATAACCTATGGTCAAAGAGGAATTTTCAGAGAAAATTGGAAAATATTAGGAATGGGATGAAATGAAAATACAGTATATCAAAACTTGTGGATTGAGCTATTGCATTGCTCAGGGGGAAATTATAAACTAAATATCTATATTAGAAAGGAAGAAAAATCTGAAATCAATAACCTGAGATTCTACTATAAGAAATTACAAAAGTAAATTAAAACCAAAGAAGCAGAAGAAAGGAAATAATCATTACACTGAAAATCAATAAAACAACAGTGAAAAACAGTGGAGAAAAAAAACCAGGGATGAAAAAGGAGATATCACTGTGGCCTCTGCAGAAAATAAAATGATTATTAAGAAATACTATAAAAAGTTCAGTGCCAAAAACTTGACAATATTTTGTGGCCTTTAACATAAAATTTATTTTACATATTTAAGGTATATCACATGATGTTTTTGGATACATGTGGAGAGTAAAATGGTTACTGTAGAACAGCTAATTATCATATTCATCATCTCACATAGTTACCTTTGGTGTTTTTGTTTTTGTGGCTAGAAAGCTAAAATCTACTCATTTTAGTAGTTAGAAGAAGGGGCCATGACCCAAGAAAACCAGGCAGCCTCTAGAAGATGGAAAAACCAAACAAACAGATTATTTCCTGGAGTCTCCAGCATGCTCTGCTGACAATTTAATTTGGTCCCAGTAAAACTCATCGGGACTTCTGGCTTCCAGAACTGTAAAATTACAAAGTTGTCTTTGTTTTAAGCCACTAAGGTTGTGATAATTTGTTACTGCAACAATAGGAAACTAATCCAACAATGCATTTTGTTCAACATGATTTCATTTTGGTGAAAAATATTTTTCACAGGAAAAAATACTGGGAGACTCTACATTGAAGGATGTCCAGTATTAATAAGATTTTGATTATATCATTTTCTAGGTTTTCTATAATAGACATATATTTTGTCCATAATACATTTTTAAAGAAGAAAATGTAGTTACTGTGAATTTAGTCAAGATACTCAAATGTAATGATGAAATATATGTACTCTATATCATTTCTTAAAAAATTTAGAAAGAGCATTATCAATTATTGTAAAAGAATAACCTTCATAGACAAAAAAGTGTAAATAGCAACTTAGAACACACTAAAAATTTGACAATTCAGATAAAATGGGCAAATTACTAGAAAGATACAAATTATCATTACCAACTCAAGAAAGAGAAAAGTATGAATATATCTATAACAAGTAGAACCATTGAATTAGTATTTAAAAATCTTCTTAAGAAGAAAATCCCTGGCTCAGATGTCTTTGCTTGTGAGTTACACTGAAGGTTTAAGAAAAAAAGGAAAACAGAAAGTAAAGGGTGAAAGAGTACCTCTCAGCTCATTGTATAAGGCCAACATTACCGTGATGCCAAAACCAGACACAGACATTTAAAAAAATAAACACTATAGACCAATATTACTCATAAACATAAATGTAAAAATTCTCAAGAAAATACTAGCAAAGTGAATCCAGTGCTATATAAGAAGGATATACCTACCAAGGTTTATACCAGGTATGTAAGCTGGTTCAATATGCAAAAAATCAGCCAATGAATTTCATATTATCAACAGCTTGAAGAAGGAAAAACATACGATCTTCTGGATAATGCTTAACACCTGTTCATGATAAAAACTTTTTTTTTTTTTTGAGAGAGTCTCGCTTTGTCACTCAGCCTGGGGTGCAGTGGCACAGTCTCAGCTCACTTCAACCTCTTCATCCCAGGTTCAAGCGATTCTCGTGCCTCAGCCCCCTGAGTAACTGGGATTATAGGCACACACACCAGCACACCTGGCTAGCTAATTTTTATATTTTTAGTAGAGACAGGGTTTCACTATGTTGCCCAAGCTGGTCTCAAACTCCTGAGTTCAGGCAATCCACCCACCTTAGCCATCCAAAGTGCTAGGATTAGAGGTGTGAGCCACCACACCCAGCCCCATGATAAAAACTCTTATGTAAACCAGGGGTAGAATAGAACTTCTTGGGTGAGATAAATAGCATCTACTAAAAGGTGGCCTAGTGCTCATATCATACTTGATGATAGAATGCTCTCCCTCTAATATTAAAAACAAGGCAAGGATGTCTACTCTCACAATTCCTAATCCACCTCATACTGGAAGTCCTTGCCAATGCAATTATGTAAGCAAAATAAATAAAAAGCATGTAATTTGGAAAGGAAGAACTAACCATGTTTATATTTGCAGACGATATGATTGCCTGTGTAGAAGAGTCTAAAGAGTCTTCAAAAGGGTACTAAAAGTAATAAATGATCCTGGTAAGACTGCCAGATACAAAGTCAGCATACAAAAATCAATTGTATTTCAATATGGTAGCTTTGAAAAAATATAAATTTAAATTAAAAACGGTATAATTTATAACAGCACCAAAGCATTAAATACTTAGGTATTTTAGTTGCACATGATTTCTAACTCTAATTTGTTAATTTATTTTTCCAGAGAATATTTATGAACATAGAACAGCCCAAGCTTGATAAATGGTTGAGTAGGGCTGACCAGGAATTATTTGGATGGGAACTTTTACCCAATCCATAGAGTAAAATGGAACTGGAAGTATAAACACGAGAGTTAATTTCATTGGTTGTTTTTCAAGAAGAGACATTCTATCTTTGGAAGTTAGATTTAAAAGTCAGTAATATAAGCCTGGGAAGGTAGTCCAATAAAAAAATAGCTAAAAAATTGAATTTGTGATGTAGAGTGCAGATTTTCAGACTGTGTTCCATAGATCCACAAGGTTCTGTAGGACTGCCTCAGGGTCATGTGTGTGTGTATGTGTGTGTGTGTGTGTGTAAATGTGAGCGAATAAGATATGTGCATGTGAGTGTATTTACATGTAAATGGGAATGTACATGTAAATGTGTATGTGTAAGTGTGATTGAACAGTAGTGTGCAAATACAAGTGTGCATAAATGTGAGCAAATAGTTTTTTTTTTTGTGTAAATGGGTGGATGGGGATGTGACTGTATGCACATGTGCCTTGGGGAGGAGGAAGAATGTCTACTTCTGTTCTGCCTGCATTTTCCTTTCTCCCACTATCTCAGAGCAGTTTTGCTTGGATTATATTTTCCTGGAGTTCTGTATAAGATTTTTCTTGGAGAAGTTTCATGGCTACTAAAAATAAATATGAGAACCTTGATCAATTAAGCAAAGAAAAGATCACAACAATTAACAAGGATCTCCAATTGCAGGCAGCAGGTAGACAGCAAAGTTCTGCTCAAGAAGCTGGCATTGGATAGAGCCTGAAGAATTTTTCCATGACCTTATCAGAGGCAATTTGGGCTTTGAGGACAGCAACCTTAACTACTGAGGATCTAAAGGACTGGTAAGGAGTTCAGTTGTTGATAGGAAAATTACAGGGAACTAGTTAGTAACGTCATTGAGGCAAGAACACATTTTGTGTTAAATTGGGCTATAAAGGTCTGAACCATAACCATGGGAAATATGATCCAGTAGACTATGACTTGAGAGTGGCTTTCGTCCCAGAGAACAGGATGGGGACAAATTTGCAGTAGGGTAATGCCCCTATGCAATGCCCTTCAAAGAGTCATTCTTAGAGTATTTCATGGAGCATCACCTGGGCTATTTGTTTTAAATGCAATTCCTGTGCTCCTCCACCAACCTACTGAATCAGGACCTCAGGCTGGGATCCAGAAACCTTTTTAACAGAGTGCATCCTGATGAATCTGATACCCTCTCAAGTGTGGAACAACTTGCCAAGTTTTTCAAAACTTGTTGCTAAGAATCATGCTGGTGCTTGTTAAACATTCAGCCTTTTAGGCCCTTTCACTAAAGGTGCTGGGTGGAGATGAAACTGGGTGATTTATATGCTGGGTTATTCTTATTTTAGTTAATACCATGAGGAATATCAAGGTAAGAGGCAAATTTGCAAAGTTTCTGGCTTTTATTGAATAATTGTTATTTTAAAGGTAACTCACAAAGAATGTTAAAAATCATTTTCAGATTTTCTTCCTCTCACTAGGAACAATTTCCCGAAAGTGTCATCATGAACAATTTCATGAATATGAAACAAAAATCAGGTGTGACATAAAGTGTGGGCTTTGGTAGAGAAGACTAGGGGTCTACTTGCCATTATTTGCATAAATATGCCATATCATTTGCAAGTTAAATCAGCTCAGATCAAATGCCATTGATTTCTACTTTTGCACAGAAACCATTTATTAACCCCAAGGGATTCTTCACTTATGTATAACACACACATGTTAGAATGTTTTGTTGTATATTTCCCTTGGAAATTTACTGGATAAAAGCAAGGGTTATTTCCAAAAAAATTTTGGATGTATGCTCCTTTGTTTCATATGTGAGTAAGTGGGACACACAGAAATAAACATTTATTTGCCACATTTCTTTTGTTTTAATTTCTGGGGTACATGCATGTTTGTTATATAGGTAAATTGCACCATGGTGGTTTGCTGTACCTATCAACCTATCACCTAGGTATTAAGCCCAACATGCATTAGCTATTTTTCCTGATGCTCTCCCTCCCCCTACCTCCCTACTATAAGCCCCAGTGTGTGTTGTTCTTCACCCCATGTCCACATGTTCTGATTGTTAAACTCTCACTTATGAATGAGAACATGCAGTGTTTGGTTTTCTGTTCCTGTTAGTTTGCTGAGGATAATGGCTTCCAGCTCCATCCATTTCCCTGCAAGTAACATGATCTTGTTCCTTTTTATGACTGCATAGTATTCCATGGTGTATATGTACCATGTTTTCTTTAGTCTATCATTGACACGCATTTGGATTGATTCCATGTTTTTGCTATCATGAATAGTGCTGCAGTGAATATATGTATGCAGTTTTCTTTATAGTAGAATGATTTATATTCCTTTAGGTACCTACCCAGTAATGGGGATTGCTGGGTCAAATGGTATTTCTGGTTCTAGGTCTTTCAGGAATCACCACACTGTCTTCCACAATGGTTGAACCAATTTACATTGCCACCAGCATGTAAAACCATTCCTATTTCTCCACAGCCTCACCAGCATGCCATGCTCCTTAGACATTAATGTGCGTATGAATCACATTGAGTTCTTGAAAAAATACAGATTCTGATGAGCCTGAGGTGGGGGATGAGATTCTACATTTGTATTCAGCCCCTAGGTTATGCCAGTACTGCCGGTCCTCAGACTACCCTTCCCATAGCAAGGGGCTATCATACAGCATTCTATCCTGAGAGAGGTGACTGATAAACTCTATACTGCTGCTGTCTGTGAGGGCCATTAAGGAAACGCAAATTCTGTATGAATTTCACACAAAAGAAGATGAATGAAAACGTACCCTACCTTAAAGAACCACAGACAGGAGCAGAGAGTGCAGTTAAAAAGTGCACATGTACCCCAAAACCTAAAATGCAATAAAAAATTAAAAATAAATTATTTTAGAGTAAAAAAAATCTATTTATATTTTTTATTACCTCCATTTCAATACATTTCATTTTTATATTTGTATATTTTTATATCATACAAGTACATAGGTATATTCATGTTTTGTTATATATATATACACATGTATACACATATATATTAGATCACTATTGTAGATGATAGGCTTTATATATATGATTAATAAATAAATTCACATATAGGAAAAAAAAAGTTAACACAACATTATGCAATTTCCCAGAGCTCTGAATAACTGCTTGGAGCAAGCCTTGCCAATAGAAATCTCAGCAGGGAATTAGCAGGTGCTGCCTCTACAGATGGTTTGAGAAGCCAAGGCTTTGGTCTGGGGCAATGAGAAAAGAGAGATTTGGGGCTTCTCACTATTCCTGAATAACTGTGAATTTGGAATGATACTTTTAGCCACCATATAACCTGGGAGGGTTGGCAGCCTAGAAACACTTGTGTATAGTTACAGGGTAGGAATGGGTAGAGAAGAGAGGTTGGTGTCAATGTGGAGGCCTCTAGTAAACTGAGCTTTTGATTTCCACACTGGACAACGAGGGCCACATAAGCGATATTCTTCTAATACAATCAATGAATTTTCAGAGTTCCCTTAAAAATCGTTTCCATTGTAAATTTGACTTGACCTTGTTTCCTCATGACTGCCACCACTAAACCTCAATTGTCTTTACTTCTTTCTGGGTAGGGAGCTTTAGTTTCATACAGTTAGTTTTTCACTGTATTCCTTCTAGTGAATATTGTAAAAGTTTTATTTCTCTTCTACAGAATAGAATATGCTTGCTTCAATGTCCTTGGCCGCAAAACTTAGGTGAGTTTTTATCTCAATATATTATTAGCTTTTCCATAGAAATTATTTAATTCAAATTATGCACCATGGCAGAGAGTGCAAAGGCTGAGAAAATTTAATAGGACAAAGTCTATCTTCAAATTTCTTATTACCTAGTAATTTTAAGTACATGTTAATTGAAGGATTTTGGGTTTTGGAATTGTTATTCTTTAATGAAATTTGGAATAAAGGGACTGCAGTTTAGGAAGCTGAAGTTGGTTGTCACATTGCAATTTCTTTAGTGAGCATACAATTTTCATGACTTTATTAATGAGTTTTACTTGATAAATATTAAAAGGAAAGGTTTCTCTCTCTCTCTTTCTCCTCCTCTCTCTCCTTCTCTCTCTTTCCTTCTCTCTCTCTCTCATTCTATCGCTTATTCTTCCTAATCCTTTGGCAGAAAAGAACACCAAGAAGTCTGAAAATAGAAATTTCAGGTTTGGTGTTACACGGAGCCAACACTGTAACTGTGACTGGATGGTTTTTAGGTTTACATCTATTTCCTGCAAAGTGTTTTTATACCAGTTTCACTGTCTTTGAGTAGTTAAGTGGCCTTCTGCAAGTACTCAGAGTGGGAAAATCTCCTTGGAATTAGGCTGGGAAAGTTAAGATCAATGGTACTGCTGATGGCTTATCAGTGTGATAGCAGGAAAATGTGTTCCTGATGAGTAAGGCATTGAGCTTGTTCAAGGCATCCTATTTGGCCCAGACAGATGGTTAATGAGATAAGTTATGGTCAGAAGGTGCTGATTCTAGTGCCTTGGAATTTTTTGAAACAAATTTTGTGTTCAAAGGAAAAACAAACAGGCAAATGAACAAACAGTAAAGCCAGAAACAAGAACAAACAGGTCCTTTGATATAAAAATCAAAGAAAAATCAGTCAAAGAGATGAATATCTGCATTATTTATTTTAGCCTAACTCTACAGATGGCAATTTTATATCAGTGGGTTATAGAGAGCATGAACCCATCAAACTGATATCCCATGAGGGGATGTCACGCCAGGATACCCTATTGAGACCTTTCCTTCCAGAAGATGTTGGTTGGCCTACTTGCTCAGACTTGAAGCTGAAGGTTAAACATCACATACAGAGTTCTTACACATCAATTGAAAAGCTTATTGGAGTTTTAAAGAGTACAGACATGCAGGAAATATGGAATTACTATTAAACATTTGAAAAAAAATGTTCATTCTGATAAGCAAATAATTCTAATGAAAATAATATGACAGCATTATGTTTGGGCCCATTAAATAGTATGAACAGGAATAAAATATTAATAATGGTGCCCATTGAAATCAAGTGCCCAATTAATGAATTAAGCACTCTTCTAAACTTCTTGTTCCCTTGTAGATTGATGTAATTTTTTGTTTTTCTTTTGAGATAGAGTATCACTCTGTCACCCAGACTGGAGTGCAGTGATGCGGTCACAGCTCATAGCAACCTCTGTCTCCAAGGTTCAAGCAATTCTCCTGCCTCAGCCTCCTGAGTAGCTGGGCTTACAGGAGTGAGCCACCATGGCCAGCTAATATTTGTATTTTTAGTAGAGAGGAGATTTCTCTATGTTGGTCAGGCTGGTCTCCAACTCCTGACCTCAGGTAATCTGTCCCTGCCTCAGCCTCCCAAAGTGCTGGCATTACAAGTGTGAGCCACCAAGCCCGGCCCAAATTGATGTAACTTTCTAAAGGCCAGTTTGGTAATACATGCATTCAGAATTTCAACTCTTCATATTACTTTACCTATTCCAAAGCATAAAAATGATCATGGTTTTCTGTGTTATAATCCTCTGTTTGACTTTCCCTTAATTAAAGCTGGGATCATCAAACTTTTTCTGTAAAGGGCAAGATAGAAAATATTTTAGGGCTTTGTGCCACACTGTCTCTATTTCAATTACTCAGCTACGCTCTCGTGCACAAAACAGCCTAGAACACAGGTGATCTGTGCTCAAATAAAACTTATTTATAGACACTGAAATTTGAATTTCATATAATTCTCACTGGATACTAGGCTTATGTTTCATTTCAACCATTAAAGAATGTAAAAACCATTCTTAGCTTGTGGTTGTTTCCAAAACAGGTGGCAGGCTGCATTTGAGCCTCTAGCTTCAGTTACAGCTTAAAGCATAAATCCCCCAGTCCCCACATCCTTTACAACATTCTCCCCAAACTTTCATGCTACCTGCAACTGTATGCTTATGTGTGCCTTTCTCTTATGTCTAGAGTGTCATCTCCATCACCACCTTCCTGAAATTATTTTTATTACCTATGTTGACTTAGAAATGAGCTTTGTCGACCGGCTGCGGTGGCTCATGCCTATAATCCCAGCACTTTGGGAGGCCAAGGCGGGTGGATCACGAGGTCAAGAGATCGAGACCATCCTGGTTAACATGGTGAAACCCCATCTCTACTAAAAATACAAAAATTAGCTAGGCATGGTGGCGTGCGCCTGTAGTCCCAGCTACTCGGGAGGCTGAGGCAGGAGAATTGCTTGAACCCAGGAGGCAGAGGTTGCGGTAAGCCGAGATCGTGCCATTGCACTCCAGCCTGGGTAACAGGGGTGAAACTCCGTCTCAAGGAAAAAAAAAAAAGTAAAATATTAGATGAAAGCAGGATTTTTGGTATGATTTAGTGTGAATCAAAGTATATCTAATTGACAAGTATAAACCACTTAGATCTCATTTATTTATCTATCTATCTATTTATTTATTTATTTATTCATTAATTCATTTGGTTCTGGGGTACATGTGCAGAACGTGCAGGTTTGTTGTTATATAGGTATACACGTGCCTTGGTGCTTTGCTGCATCCATCACCCCATCATCTACATTAGGTATTTCATCTAATGCTATCCCTCCCCCTTCTCCCCGCCCCTGCTATCCCTTGCTAGTCCCCCACCCTCCGACAGGCCCTGGTGTGTGATGTTCCCCTCCGTGTGTCATGTTCTCATTGTTCAGCACCCACTTATGAGTGAGAACATGGGGTGTTTGGTTTTCTGTTCTTGCGTCAGTTTGCTGAGAATGATGGTTTCCAGCTTTATCCATGTCCCTGCAAAGGACATGAACTCATCCTTTTTATGGCTACATAGTATTTCATGGTATGTATGTGCCACATTTTCTTTATCCAGAGTATCATTGATGGGCATTTGGGTTGGTTCCAAATCTTTGCTATTGTGAACAGTGCTGCAATAAACATGTGTGTGCATGTGTCTTTAGAATAGAATAATTTATAATCCTTTGGATATATACCCAGTAATGGGATTGAAACAAATGGTGTTTCTATTTCTTAGATCTCCTTTGATAGTGCAGGGACTGAAGATTGCAGGAGGGTGTTGGATGTCTGGGTTTGTACGAAAGATTATCAGTAGGATAATGGGAAGACAGGCACAGGAAGGGGAAGTTGGGCATATAAGCAAGCAACAATACATTAAGGGTCTGCATGGGGCAGACCGTGTTCATTTTCAGTTGGATTGAGATAAATAGAAGAGAAAGTGGTTATGCAACGAACTGAACAACAAAACATTTCAATTTCTCATGATTTATTACTTTTTGCAAAATAATTTACTACAGTAAAATTATAGTAAATTACTGTTTATAAAGAATAATTGTCTCCTTATAAAGAGATAATTAAAGTGGTCATTTACATTTCATTATAGTGTTTTTGTTAAAATTATGATATTTCAATCAATAAATTGTAAAATACCTTTTTACAAAGGCCATTGTGTAAAGTGGGTGGCTAGTCTTGAATTCAATGCCCCATACCTCTGGAGAACCCAATGATACGGAACACGAGGTGTTACTAATAATAATGTTTATTATGCTATCTGTATATACACATTACTTATTGTATTGTTGTATGTTTTATACACACATATATACCTTGCTTAAAAATAAAATAAATATCTTTGGGAAAAGTAACCTTGTGAACTTTATAAAGTAATAAAATAATATTAATAGTTAATTACCAATAACTAAATGAATGTTTCTTATGTGACAGGTGCTGTCTAAATATTTTACATTCAAGATCTTTTTCCTTGCTTAAATATTAATCCTAGAAAATTCAAACATATACAAAAGAAGGCCACTATAGTGATCTGCCTAGTACCTAACTCCCTGCTTCAACACTAACAATCTGTGGCCAAATTTATTTTATCTTTGCACTGATTTCCTCCTCCCATGTTATTTTGAAAGAAATCCTAGACATCGTATTATGTTATCCATAATATTTCTGCTTGTATCTCTAAAAGACAAGGACTCAAAAATATAAAACCACAGTGCTATTATCTCACTTATAAATAATTAGCAGTAGTTTCTTAGTATCATCAGATATTCAGTCAGTGTCTATTTGTGTGCATTTAAAATTTTTACAAATTTTTTCAATTCAGATCCAAATAATTTTCATGTTACAATAGGTTGATATTTGAAGTCTTTCAAATAACTTTTAATTCTCTCTCTCTCTCTCTCTCTCTCTCTCTCTCTCTCTCTCTCTCTCTCAGTGTTTATTTCTCTCTCTCCTTGCAGTTTATTCATTTAATAAACTTGGCTATTCTGTCCACAGCCTGGATTTTTTTGGACAGTATTTCACCTGGCTCTGTCCTCTGAGCTTCCTGTAAATTGATAGTTATATGTAAAGACCTCATCAGATAAATCTGACAATTAATTGATGATATAGTTGTATGCAGGGGGAGGCTTGTGGGTGGCTTTAGATTCTTCCAGAGGGAGGCTTATTTTAATTTTGTGATCTTTGTTGATGCTGTTGTTAGCAACCTAGATCCTAGGTGAATTCATTGGGGTTTGAAAAATTCTTGTAGTCTAATTCTAACTTTTTATTCATGTATTAGCTAGGCACTTCTATAAAGAAAAATACCTCAATTACAACTTTTCTCCCAAATGGTACATTTCTATAGGAAAATAATAAATGATGGATTTTTTTTCTGTGTATTATGAGTTTTCAAAATAATGAGGTAGTAAGCATGGTCCAACTATGATC